ATAACTAACCTTAATATTACGGTAAACATAAATTACATTTGACCATTTTTAGGTGTTATGAAAGATAAGGGTTATTGGTAGCACTGTGAATTGAACCTAAATATTGTCAGCTTATAATCTACCGAGTTTTCAATTGGTCAAGACATAAAATCCTTACTAATATTATAAATGCGAAAGTAACCCAAAGTCACTATTAAGTCGCGAGCACACGCTAGTTGATTATATATTTACTATTTAATGGTGACAAATTAAACGCAAAAGATTTTACATAAATTTTTTATTATTATTATATGACAAAACATTAAAACAAAAAATAACTGAATTTAATTTTCATCTGTATAATTTAAATTACTATAAAAACTGTGATAACACTTAGGGATGGCCTCACTATCACACAAAGACTTCAGGTCAGCAAACAGAGCCTTGGTAATAGGTAAAGGGTGGCTATAAACATTTTTGAGTGTTTGTACATCAACCTGGCCAGGGACGGATTTCCGTCCTCGGTTGGGTTTGTTTAGTTGAAGTTTTGTATCCAACTCGAATGGATCATTATCGAAGTCATACTTATACTGTAAAATAGTTGGTTTCATATGAGAAACTCTCACCTCCATCAATTTCGACCATTGAATTTTTCGGCCTTGGACGTCGTTTAACCAATTCCTTCCACTAATAAGATTTTTTATGTCGTAGAAATCTACCTGCTCCATTTCAGTGACTTTATACCTTGGATGCGAGATTTTTGCGTTTGAAATTATACTGTAAACTTGTTTTGGAGTATACAGTATTTTGTTTTTCATAGCCTTCTCAATACAAGAATGCATATTGTCGCCTTCATTTTGGCTATGCCCAGTCTCGAAAAATCTGTGTGTTATATTTTTCACGCCATGTACTTGTACGGCAAATAAGTATAAGGCGAAGATATACCTATTTTTATTTTGACCAGTACAGCCGTCAGAATAAAATGAAAAATTTTCAATTCCTCTCAATTGTTCCTCCTGTATGAATTTTAATAAGCAACTACCAATTTCTATAGAACCCCTTTTTGCAATAGACATATGCCATAAAAAACAATGTCCGGCTTTGCGCATTAAATCAAAGACAGTAAAGTTATATACTGCATATTTTCTTTTATAATATAAAATTCCCACTTCGGACTGTAGCACACTTAAAACTTTTTCAAGATCAAACGCAGCAATAGTAGTGTTTTTTTCATCTGCCCTCAATTTTTCTTCATTTTTTATGTTACGGACGGTTTCCTTGTTCTGTATATGCTTTCTGTATGCTTCTTCTAGTGATAGTTCTCTTTCTTCATCTGCTTGTTCATAAAGGGAACATGTTGCGCATTGATCTTTTTTTGGTCGAAAGAAAGAGTAGTTAAATTCTGTATTAAATATAGTCTCATACTGTCGCTTTGTAGCCTTCTGATCTACTGTCAAATTTTGCTGTGGAAACCAAAGTTCATATAATCGATACATTTTTGAAACATTAAGTTGCTCTGACAAATACTGACTTGTTGAGTCTTTTCTTATGTAGTGAGACTCTACTGTTGGAAATATATTAATGTGGTCAATTATGCTTTGTTTAGTTAAGTTACTCATCTTTTGAGGCCTATTCGTATGACTCCCTCTCTGATCAATCAAACTTTCATCATTTTTTATTTTTTCTAATGCTGTATATACAAACTGCTCGGATATTTTCAAAGTATTTAAAAAATAAACCTTGCAAACAGTAATATCTGATTTGTTTAAGGGAAAAGTATAATTGATGGTTTGAGTTCTGTTTTGTTTTCTGTCTATAGTCATTTTCTTTATTGGTTTTGCTATTGTGTGTCTACTAATAAATTGCCATTGTAGTTCGTGATCAGCCATTTTATAAAAAGTTTTAAATATAGTTTCTCTCTGCTCTTCAGTGAAATTTTCGCTGCATTTTTTCTTACAAGAACACACAGGTCCCATTGTTTTAGCAGGATATTCTTTTTTTGTACGTTTGTTTGTGTAGCTTTTTCCAGAATCCTTCATTTTTTTGTTTTTATTATCTTTCCACTCACTCTCGTTTCTAGACCGTTTTCTACTGAGCTTCCTTCCTTCTGATTGATCCTGTATATTTATTTCTTCTATAGTAATGATGTGCTCCGTTTCTCCTGTACTATCTTGACTACTCGGGCCAGCTATTTGACTTATTGGGTTATTTATTTGCTGCATTTGAAGTATTTCCTCTGCCTGTATTACTTCATCTACCTGTTTAATCTCGTTAGATTTTTCTGTTTCTTTTCTTATCTGATTTTCTTCATTATCTGTGCTTTCTAAGGTTTCATCTTTTTCTTCTATTTCTATGTCATTTATCACTTGAAATTCTTCATAATTACTGAGTTTTAATAGAATTGGGGAGGTGGGGCATATTTCAATACAGAGTGTTTCATTAAAGGTGACGAGTTCAGGCTTTTTAATTATTTCTTTAGAAGATTCGTAGTACTCGTTGGTTTTGTAAATAATAGATGGAGATGCTACAAAATTTATATGACTATCTAAAATAAATGACAGATTAGAAATTGTTGACGGACTTTGATTATTATTCATTAACTCATCAATGCGTGCAGAATCTCCTCCAAAACTTGTAATACTACATGGTGTTAAAACTTGATTATCATGACATAACATAAGTTCAGTGCCTACAAGGTTATCTTTTTCATCTTCTACTCTGTCTTTATCATTTTCTAAGATATCTGTAACAAAACAGTTTAAAACCTTATATATAACAATGTCAATGTCTTTTAGTGTACAGATTAGAAATATATTCGAATAATGTTTTTTATTTTAAGTAATTAAATTAAATCAGTTGGTGAACTAACGTCGCCCCTTAACTTGAAAAGTAATTCAACTTACCACTTAGTTTATGCATCTGTTCTTCATTTTCGTCACAATCTTTTAAATTCATATTTGGATTGGTTCCATCAGCGATAGGTGAAGTCGGATTAGGGTCTCCTAAAAATCAAAATATCATACTAAAATTATGTAAAAGCTATCAGAGAACAAATTGGTTTGTAATCCTAAAAAATAAAATAAAACTATTACAAAACTTAACGTATTATGGATTCGTACAAAAATATTCTTTTACTTTTGACTAGCGTTTTTAAACGAATTTAGGTGCTATACCTATTCAATAAGGCAAATGACAAGACATGTTTCTATTATACATGTTCGAAAATTAAAACACGTAATCATAATGTATTGTACTTAATCATAATAATACAAAAATAAATAGCCCGATAGCAGATTATAGCTTGCCCTTTTATTTTACTAACCCAATTATCTCCGATAAGTACCAATACAAAAGGTTATTTATGATTTAGTAAATAAAATAATTATATTGTTAGGTGTAACTTCCTGTGGTGGCGCCACCATCGTGCGGCGCGTCTATAAAAGGCTGCGAAACCCGGTGTGCGGCCTCTTTTGGTCGACAGACGTGCTCTCGAACGAATCTCCGTATCATACCGTGTTTGCTTGAAAAGTTCTTTTACTGATTTCGTTAAAATTAATTATACGATTTATTATAAGTTTCTTTTATTTAATTAAATTTAGAGCATATTCCTAACATCAGAAGTGGGATTCGAGGCCATTTTTGGTCGCGAATAACATTTTTGACTAAGGATTGATTACATGTCGAGTAGAAAACGCCCATCGTTACGAGAGCACGCGTCTCCGTTCTCCACCTATCAAATATAGGTGAACTAGCAGCGTTAATGGACGCAAGTCTCAACAATTGGTGTCGCTGGAACAACGTGCGGTAGCTCAGCGAAACAGGGGTTCGCATATAGCTGCCGACGTAGATGCTGACGACGTGCCTGCGCCGGCACCGGCCCCGCCGCGCTGTCGCCGCCCGCGCAGACAGTCGGCGCGCCAGCCAGACCCGCCAACACGGCGCCAACGAGCGCACCTGGTGCGGTGGCGCGATCGGTTGCTACCTCAACAGACATTACGAAACGTCTTATCGACGCTTAATGTCATGAATCTGGTGAGATCTTTCCATTTTTATATTTCATACTTTTAAGTATGCGCAACATTGACGAATAGTTGCGATGAAATAGATCGTGGTCATTCAGTGAACCGACAGACGGTGTCAGTTTTGAGGTTAAAAAGTGAAGCAAGCGCGTAGTAACGTGAGTGGGCTAGTGATGATCATACTTGGTCATATATGATGGCAAACTACGTAGTATAGAAGTAGATTCTCAAATACGGTGCTATAGTTGCAATATAGTCGGGTATAGAAGTAAATTTAGTTCTTTTGAAAAAAAAAAATAACCTACGGACAAAATCGTATATGCGTTTTGTAAGAAGATAGGTCATACTGAATACGTTTACTTTACAAAGAAATAATCTGAATTAGGCTAACGCAAATTTTCGCCGTGACTTGGACTAATGATAATGCACATCGCGACGAAATTACCGCCGTAATATGCAGGTACCCACAGATGTTTAGTACGATAGTGGTTCAACAACTTCTTTTTTAATCAAATGATCGTTTTCGTGTTGTAAGGTGCACATATTATGCTGTTTAGGCGAAACGGATATGCGGTCTGGTTATACCCACAGATGTTTAGTACGATAGTGGTTCAACTTCTTTTAAATCAAATAATCGTTTTCGTGTTGAAAGGTGTACATATTATGCTGTTTAGACGAAACGGATATGCGGTCTGATTATACCCGCAAATGTTTAGTACGATAGTGGTTCAACTTCTTTTAAATCAAAAGATCGTTTTCGTGTTGTAAGGTGCACATTATGCTGTTTAGACAAAACGGATATGCGGTCTGATTATTTTCTTACTTTATCTGCAAAATTCAATAACATCTCACAAGAAGTAACTTCTTAATACCTTGTGAATATCTGAAACACGCCAGTACTCATTGGTAACGATATTTTTAATATTAAAAGCGCGAAAAATCATTCACGCGTTGCGCATTTGTCTGGAGTGGACGTGTCGTTATACATAACTGCCTACTTTGTGCTTCGAAGGAATCGTACATTTGTTATATTTGTTTATTATTGTGTCTATTGAGTGGACGCCACGTAAATATGTCCCTGCAACGTACACCACCGAAGTTCTCCTCAAATCCTGACATAAGTGCATCATCAGCCTCAGTGACTGACAAAAGTAATATAAATTTGCGGAAACGTAAACAACCACATGACGAAACAAGTAATATATTTTGTGAATTGGAGAAAAAGTTTAGTGACCAATTAAATATCTGGAATAAGAGAATTGATGAAGGTATTATGGAAACAATATCTGCTGCAGTTAAGTCATGTATGTCGCTTGAACTAGCGAAAATATCCACTACATTATCAGAAATTAATACATCGATACTTGGACTCCAAGCAGATAATGTCAGTGTCAAGGAATCAGTAAGTAATTTCATTACTCGTCTCTCCGACATGGAAACCTCACTCAATGCAGTGCATCAACGTCAAGATTTACTTGAGCAGCGCCTAAGTGCCATCGAAATTAATAATAAATCCCTGAACCAATCTCCAGATCAAATAAAAGCATTAGAAACCAAAATTAATTATATGGAACAACAGGCGAGAGAATGCAACATTGAAATATCGAACATACCAGAACGACGAAATGAGAATCTTATGGTCATCGCGACTAACTTGGGTACCGTAATAAATCAAAAAAATGTTCATAATGACATTATATCTATACATCGAGTCCCCCATGCCTCTTGGGAGGATACCCGACCCAAGAATATAATAGTTAAATTCTCCTCTAGGATCTTACGTGACAACGTACTTGCTGCATGCCGTCTCAAGAAGGGAATCAATTCTGAACAATTATCAATATCAGGTTCAGTGCATACCATTTATGTGAACGAACATTTAACTGTGAGAAATAAACTGTTATTTCGTGAAAGTCGACAAAAAGCTAAAAATCAGAATTACAAATATGTGTGGGTTAAGAATGGTATTATTTTATTACGAAAAACGGATAACTCTCCGGTTTTGGCAGTGCGTTCTTCGCATGATATGGTCAAAATTAAATAACATGCATGTGCCAGTATTATATAATGGCTTAATTATAATAATCTTAAATATGAATAATATACGTGCATTCATTTTGATCTATTCATGTACAGTATTCTGTGTGCGAGGGTATGTGTGCAATAACTGCGTGAGGTATAATGATGCTAATACCTACAATGTTTGCATTCACGAATACACGGTTCAACTCAACAAATCATTACTACTTTTGTTTTATGCACTCATATTAAACAATTTGTATTTGTCAAGTATCAGATATTTATTCTGTGGAATGATTGGTGAACATGTACATGTCATTGTTTGTGTATATACTACACACACAAAGTATTATTTTCAAAAAGTTTCATATAGGAGATATATACGTTTGTTATTGAATCTGTTGTTGCTTATAAATATTTTAATTTTAAGTCATAATTTTTATTATAATTATAAATGTTTGATGGTGAATGGTACTGTTTGTTGTGCATTCTTTATATACTTTAGAAATATAAGTAACGTAACGTTAGTCAAATTAATGTACTATCACGTTGACACTATAATACTTTCTCACATTTATGTATTCTATCATCCGATGTGTGTATCGACTACCTGTCTACAGCGTATATATTGTTATACAATAACATTTAGTAATTTATCTTGTCATTATTTTCTTAACATTCAGTGCGAATAAATATTTGTCCGTTTATTACCAAAACTGCAGAGGGCTGAGGACAAAATTGCACACGTTATATATGAATATATATGAATATTACACAATTTTGATGTCGTTATTTTAACAGAAACCTGGCTACAGGGTGATATTACTGATAATGAAATTATTGATAACCGATATCATGTATATCGATGCGACCGGGACCGAGTGGCAACGGACCGGAGAGACGGTGGCGGGGTGCTGGTGGCCGTACTGCGTGAGCTCGCCGCTGTCCCCTGCATGCCGCTCCCCGCCACCTCGTACTCGTACCGGTCCCCCCCGCCTATTGTCGATTATGTGTTATTAGAGATGCGCCTTTGTAACGGCATTACTTGCCTACTTAGTGCTGTTTACATACCGCCGAGTCAACATGTTGATGTATATTCTTCATATATAGAATATATCCAACAAATAGTACAGGAACGTAATGTCCAAAAGTTTTGTATGGTTGGAGACTACAATCTGTCAACACTTGAATGGTATTCAGATGGGTCGGGTCTTCAGCCAATTCTTACAAATAAATCAACCTTATCTGACAAAGAAATTATGTCATTTACTGCTCAAATGAATTGTCTACAAATTAACAACATAAGAAATAAGAATAATAAAATATTAGACCTTGTCTTTACTAATATCACAAACTGCAGTTTGACGCCTGCGCCGATTCCCCTTGTCCCGTCTGACGAACATCATCCACCATTTTATTTTATTGCCCCTTTGGATTTTAAGTTGAAATATATGTCTTCAAAAATTCAAAACCAATACTGTTTCAAGAGTGCTGACTATAGCGCAATCAATGAAGATTTATCTAAGTTGGATTGGTATGATTTATTTAAAGATAAATCGACTGAATCCGCTGTTGATATATTTTATGAAATTGTTTACGGACTAATAAAAAAACACGTACCAATTAAAATTATAAAATCTACTCGTTTCCCGCCTTGGTTCTCTTCTTCTTTGAAGCATATATATAAAGATAAAACTCTAGCATGGATTAAATGGAAAAAATATAAAAATAAGACTGATTATGAAAAATTTTCACTGTATAGAGAACGATTCAAAAAGGAATCACAAAAATGTTATTGTTCTTACATTGATAAAGTTGAAAGTAGTATAAAAGACAACATAAAATTTTTTTGGACATTCGTTTCTAATAGGGATGATATTCCTGAGTCACTATATTATAATGATAAAATCACTGAAAAACCTGAAGAGGCTTGTAATTTATTTTCAGACTTTTTTCATTCTGTTTTTGAACCCTCATCCGTAACAGAAGATTATGATATAGACAATATTAACTCAAATATAAACAACAATAGTAGTAATGTGGTAATAACTAACATTACATTCAGTATCGATCAGGTACTTAAGGAACTTAAGCTGCTGGATATTTCTAAAGGTGCAGGTACTGATAATATTCCAGCCTACTTTCTAAAGTTAACTGCAGTGACATTATGTAAACCATTGCACTATCTATTTAATAACTGTCTACGTGACGGTGTATGTCCGATTATTTGGAAATCAGCACGTGTCGTACCAATACATAAAGGGGGTTGTAAAAAATATTGAAAACTATCGCCCAATCTCAATTTTACCAACGTTATCTAAAATACTTGAGAGACTCGTGCATAATGCTATTTATCCCATAATCCATGACAACATTATTCCTCAGCAGCACGGCTTTGTTGAACGTCGTTCTACTACTACAAACCTGGTAGTCTATGCCTCTTATCTATTTGAGACTTTGGACCAAAACAAACAAACAGACAGTGTATATACAGATTTCAGAAAGGCATTTGATACAATAGATCATAAATGCCTTCTAGAAAAAATTGCATTCAACGGTATACGAGGTTGTCTTTGGCGTTGGTTTAAATCCTACATCACAAACAGAACTCAAAAAGTTGTAATTAATGGGCATGAATCCGATTTAATGTCCATAAGTTCTGGAGTACCTCAGGGGTCGATCCTAGGTCCTTTACTTTTTATAATGTTCATAAATGATGTCAATTCATGCTTTAAGTTTTGCAAAATTTTATTGTATGCTGATGACCTTAAAATATATCATGTAATTGATGGTCCCAATGATCATATACATTTTCAGGAGGATCTGAATCGTTTCAGCAGTTACTGTAAAACTAACAAGCTAACACTTAGTCTAACAAAATGTAAAAGTATCACTTTCTCCAGAAAGCGAAATATAAGCAAGTTCTCTTACACATTGTGTAATTCTGTCCTCAATAATGTGGAAATAATCAAAGACTTAGGTATTACTTTAGACACTAGGCTCGTACTTGATACACATATCGATAATATAATTAATAAAGCATATAAAATGTATGGTTATGTTATGAGAACCTGTGTTAATTTTAAAAGCCCTTCTACTTACTTATATTTATACAAAAGTCTTATTCGCTCTCAATTAGAATATGCCGTAACTGTTTGGAACCCTTTTTACAATATATATTCGGATAGAATTGAAATGGTACAGAAAAAATTTCTACGCCGATTACAATATAAGTTTTACCATAGCCATCTTTCTTATGACAGACTTTTGAAGAAATTTGATTTATTAAATCTAACATCGCGACGCACACAACTTGAGATTATGTTTTTATATGATATAGTCCAAAATAAATATGATTGCACCTCTTTGACAAACCAGATAAGTTACCGGGTTCCATCGCGAGCACAAATGAGAACGTCAAGAAAACAGGAATTGTTCGCTGTTAACAGATGTCGTACAAACTCTGGTACTCGGTCACCAATTAATAGAATTGTTAAAGCATATAATGATAAGTTCTCTAATATACATATATTTGCTACTAGACCATCATTATTCAAAAAGATGGTTGGTCAGAATTTGTCACATACCCACTTAACTTAATAGATGTTAATTTTTATTCTTAGTAATTCCTTTTTTTTTTATTTTTTATTATTATTATTTTATTTTATTTCATTTTACGCTTTCTTATATTTTTTTTATTTATTTATTTATTTACATGCTCTCGGTGAGTATTACAGTATAATACCAATGCACTCATCAAGGATTAAACTGACGCAATACATAGATTAATAGTAATAATAATTATAATAACAATAGCTATATATAGAAAACAACAACTACAGAAATTACAATAACAATAATAATTTAGACAAGAATAATACCTATTCTAATATTGTGACTCCACAAAACTTGTTACCGCTCTGTGAAACTCTGGG